CCCCCCCCCCCCCCCCCCCCCCCCCTTTACCACCCTCAAATTTAGGATAACCTAATTCTTGTGGCATTATACTGAAATTTCATCATACTCCTTCCGAGTCATAATCTAAGACATAGGTTATGTTTTGAAGGACCCCATGCGCCGTCGATTCTCATTTAGTTATGAATTTTAATTTTAATCCCATTTTTTAATATAACGTTAATTTCCTCTATGAGCTGTCCTAGGCGTATTTTAAGCTCCCTACAGAAATGATATATTAAATAATTGCTCGCATTTTTCGAAGCAAAACACGTTTATCTTTAATTACGGATATTTTATTTTGACTTTTAGCAGGGACATAAAGTTAGAAAACAATTTTAGAATGACTAAACTAATGAATATTCTTTTTCTGGTCGAAAATTCTTCTCTGCGCCTTTACTGCTTAACACTCTCTCGGTTTTTTCTATTATTATTTACTGGTGTTGGTGAACACTGAAACATGTTTGCATCACGGTATTGCTGTATTGTAGATATGATTCCTTATTGACCTACTCTTCAGTAAATTACCACTTTTAAATGACGGTAAGGTAAATCAAGAAGCTGTACATCAGAAGTATTAAGACGCTACGACATGGCTGACAAAACGATGACGCCGTGGAAATAACGAACAGCATTAACATCAAAGTGATTTATTCTAATCCTCCTCCATTTTAGATTAAAAACCTTTAACATCATTCAGTAACAATTATGTTCGTACCTTATTTTTTCAAAGGTGGCGTGTCGTTTACATTGTTTTCTCTCGGGGCTCTCCTCTGCGCAGTTCTAAAATGTCTCCATTTTTACAGTCATTGTACAGAGTAATTTTCATATAATTAAAAGCTTTCATACAGTAAGTATTAAAACATTGGTGGTTATCCCGCTGATTTGTAAAAAATATCACAATGATGGAAAATATATATATATAGATATGAAATAAGAAGATTCGTCTGTTTTTCGCAAACATGCTAGTTGAAGACCTAATCAAACTCTAGGTCGGCTCATAAAATCACAATGTTATCATGAAAGGTTTTTTCCATTGAAGAAGACATAGATGATTGTTACATGAAATGCTTCTGAGAAAAAGCGTGGAGTGCGGCCTGTGTTCACGAAATGAGTTTTTTTTATCCACTGTTTATGTTTCCTGCTGCTATGTTGAGCTATTATTAGGATTAGAAAGTTTCTAATAGAAGTATTCTTAAAAAAAGAACAATTCGTGATTACTGCGGTAAGTGAATGACCTAAATTTCTTTTCCAAGTGTCAAAGCTGCAATTTTTCTTTATCATTATTATTTTTTTGTTTTTCTTTTTGTACCGATTTTGTACTATTTTTTTCGGTTATTTCTAGTTTTGGCTATTTCGTGATCAGTCAGGTCAAATTAATGTAGCCTCCCTGTTGGTGGTGTAATCGGCATCTGATAGATGTACGTCTGAATTGCTAACACACTCCGTTATTCATATATTGATCGGTCTTCATGTGAAAAGAGGAGGATAATACAACACGGAGTGCGAATTCATCCATTTAAAGGTAAACTGACATGATACAAATAGCCCTCTATTACAGTATTTCTGTTGGTTTGCGGACGTAACATAAACTGTTTACTTATTTTCTCTTTCGAGCCTCTCGGGAGGCATTTTCCATTAACAAATGCCATATTTAAAAACGTTAACATACCGCAAACTAACTGTGCCCTGAATAAAAGGTAAAACATAAGGTAGAAGCGACAGTATTAATTTGCGATTATGTTTTAAAGCTCGAAGCTTGTGAGGCCGTGTACAAGAAACAAATCTTTTTTTTTTTTTGTCATTATTTTTTGAGTCATTGACCTATTTGTTTTTGCATGTAGTTGAGGTAGAATCAAACGGTAAACAACAGTCAAGGCAGGACTTGGCGGGCGAAGCATTAGAAACCTTTATTATATGGCTAGCTTCGCGAGCGGGCAAGATGAATCAAATCCTGCGCTGTGACTGTATACCCGAGCGGGCAAGATGGAGCTATCTTTCCCGCTCGGGACTACCCGCCGTTTCCCGCAAGAAAAATTTCCCCGAAAGCCGTATAATAAATCTTTTATTGGCCAAGCTTGTTTGGTCAAGATGGCTCGATATTGGTCTCGTTCTTTTTTTTGCGAGTTTATGGACCTCGACTCCGTCTGGGTCCGTAAACACGCAAAAAAGAACTTGGCCAATATCCAGCCATCTTGACCTCACACTTGGTCAATAACCCATATGTATTGCCACAGTGGGCATGTCACAACCAGATACGTTTGTACCATCAACGTATTGTGCATGTAGAAACTAGAATTATCAATTTGTTCAAATTAAGCATGTTTTTCAGCTTGTTACGTCTTTTTCAATGGTTAATCTAACCTAAAATTCTGTTAGCGTTATTTTTCTAAGTTTATTTACAGCGTTCGGAATCACCAACTTCCCTTCTCGGTTTTGGCGTTTATGGATTTTTGGGCTTATGGATTCCCCTTTTTGTCAGTGCCACAAATTTTTGAGTATCGTGCCTAGTTTTTTGGTAATACTTGGGCTTTTTCATGTATTTATTTATTTCATTTAGTTGAATCACACAAAAGACAACGGTTTCTATGACCACGGAATCATATATATGTTGGCTTCCAGTGTCTGCTCTTATTGATAAACATGAGTGTACTGTGCAATCGTCTGAGGCGGTTGCCTTTTTCATGGATTTGGTGATGTTACAAATAAGTCCTGTTTTGCTTGTGGTGGACGATAATCGTTTTTCTGATGACTTGTCTCGACCTATAACCTGTGTAAATTTGAAGGAACCTTAAAAAACTGTGACCTCACGTAAAAAGGCTTAAAAAATTAATTTTTACGGCGAATAAGTGTCTAATTTCTCTCGCGCTGATTGGCTCATTGTTATCATCAATAACAGTACAGACGGATAAAATTTTAATTTATGCGAGCTTTCAAGCTCAACTTTCAGCTCTCAAACTGTCAAATTTTTAACCAATGAGATTTTATGGATTTTTTTAAGCAGCCAATCAAAAAGTGAGAAAATTTATTGACAAAGTTCACGTCATTTTGAATAAAATTCACTTATCTTTGTTTATGGCAAGTTTACGGCGTTTTTTTTCCTCATTTATTCCCGGCATTTGACAAATTCGGGGTCTTGTTATTGTAAAAAACAAATTGACGTCAGTTTTTAATGCGTCTGTCCTCTTATTGATGATAAATCAATGCGGGTTCGCCTGCGGCTCGTGGTTCCACAGCCACTTTGGCAATGTTATGACGCAATTTATCATCAATAAGAGGACAGACGCATAAGTAAACTGACGTCAATTTGTTAAATCGACGAACATGTAGGAACTAAGTTACATGTTTTGACAGGCGCTATTTTTCACTTGAGTCTGTTTAACATGCAAAGAAACTTATCCAGATGAGGATCATTTATTCCAGTGTTAGTCAGTGTTAGTACTAGTTAAGAAAAGTGAAACAATACAGTGTTTCTATATCAAGATGAGTTCCTTTCATTTGACCGATTTGCCAATGTTGCCTAATTGCTCGCCACGCAACCACTAGCTAAGGTTTGGCTGAACTTTTTGCAAAAGCATAGTTTTTCCTAATGCCAAAAAGATACCTTTTTTTCTTTTGCTCGTGTGCTACATGCATGTCTCCATTTTTTGACGTTCCTAATGAGCCACCAATGTTTATTTTAAGAGTATCCGTAGCGACGAAAGGTAGGTGATAACCAAACGAAATTAAAAATTCCTGTATGAGAACATTCATGTGACTATCTGGTGTGAAATATTAAATTAAGAATGACATTGTTCATTTGAAATACTTCATTGAATACCGAGTCTGTCGTGTATTCTTTTTTTAATCCTGGCGATAAAATCTGCTGTGGTTTGTTAGAAAAACATCGACCAAGAAAAGATTGGTCAATTGAGAGACAACTTTGTTGTACTTCAGAAGGTCTCTCAATGCTTCATTTGTCTAACAATGGAGGTTTTGTTACTGGTGTTTGTTTTAGCTTGGAAGGGACAAGTAACGATTGTAGAATGCCGCGATCAATTTTATTGGAAGATTTGAATAAAAGAATAATTACAGGAAATGGATAAAACCTCATTCCATCCACTGACAATGTATCTTGTATCGCTTTTAACATTCGTTGTAACCACTACTATTTTTGTGAAATAAGCCTTTGTGATGCTTACACAACGTATTTAACGTATTGCGCATGCACGAAAAAAAGATAAGATTCTCTTGTTAGCTTTTGTCACTGGGTGGTCGAACCAAAACATCGGAAACACTCATGCATGAATACAGGAGCTTTCGAATTATAAACCAACACAGTTTTTTAATTTTGGCAGTGGTGAGATAAAGAGCTTTCTCAATGAAGGTTATTAAAAAGACAACATCAATTGCCTGTTTGCTTTGAGCTTAATACAATGTTAATAATGCGGGAAAGCTATCTAAAACCAACAAAGTTAACCTCGTTTAAAACTTTCATTATTCTGTTCACCAGAAATGGTATTAAATTTGTTTCTCTTGTTAAAGGGAACTTTTTTTCTGATCGTCAGGATTCGCTGCTTTAGCTCTTTGTCTTTCTATAGTCATCGAAATGCTAAGCCCTTAGGATGATGAGTTTACATTGCGATACAGCAGGTTAAAGCACCTTTAATTAAAGTGCAAAAGGGATGAAAATCTCTTGGTTTTTTTGCTTTCTTAGTTTAATTCCTCTAAGACACTGCGACGGTCTTTATGAAGATATGTAATCCAGGCCTCATTTCCATAAGGAAGTGATAAAACTGTTAGCCAATTGCCCACGCAAGTGGTTCAGCAATAATTAAAACTCTTGAAATCATCTCACTTTTTCAGAGGCTACTATGCTATCACCGGCTGATTAGTCGGAAGATTGAAGTCAGATTTCTGTAAGAGCGACTTTAGTTGTGGACACACAATCGAACACAAAGCAAATAGTTCAAAATATTTAAAATTCGTGGGCTTAACAGAAGCTTGTGGTTCCCTGTCGTGGAATCACTTTATGGAGTGCAGCGTGAACTCTGCCTGATTCGTAAAAGGTTAGTGAAACTTTTAGATTATTTATTTCAATCGTAGATTTCCCTTCGCTAATGCCTCTAGCTTGTAGATATTACGGAATTAGAGGTCAGCTGAGGAGTAGGTTTTACCACGAGCAGATTTTAACAAAATATTTCTCACCAAGTTATTTATAACATTTTGCGTCAGCAAATTACATTTGCGAACATCAAGTTCGTTCTCCCGTAAATTTTCTATGCTTATGGCACGAGAGGTTTTCATGTTATTTATTTTGCCATGTGTTGGACTTTTTAAGATATGTACGGGTTGTAAAGTGGTCTGTGATAAAAGTTCACTGTAATCGTGGTATGGTTTATTCATTATTATTTTTCTAGGAAATAAAAATCTCACACTAAACTAACCCAAAATTCAAAGTTAAAGTTTATTTGAAAGCGTACTTCTATAATCAAAATAATAATAATAATAAAAAAAACGGTTCAGTGTTCTTTCTCCTTCATTGTGGTGGTTGAAGGTTTTTAATTTTACCTTCTCTTGTTTGTATTACATTATTCATACAGACTATATAACGAATGAAATGCAATGGTACTAATATATATTTGTGGATTTTATCAAAAAAGCTTTCCAATTTCAGCTTTGAAATTGTGAACCAAAGAAATGTAGCGATGCAGTATTGCTTTTATACCACTGGAAAATGTTGTTTTTCTCTTTAGTGGAAAAAGGAAAGGAGCGACATCTCACAAAAATCTATATCAGTACCTAATTGATTATCACCACTCCTTTTAAATTTGGCCAAAAAAATGTCGCTTTATTTCTAAATAATTTTCTTCGTCTTTGATGCTATGGTTAGAAAAAAAGTATTTGCCATCGTGATATATGTTGCTGCCTCTCTTTCACTTAAGTTGTCATGCCTTCGCGTATAAGGACGTTTTCACTTTTTACCATCTTTCACTTCATATCTTTTCTAATTGAACTTAAATTTGCATATGCTGTGTCTTGAAATAAATTTGTTTTGGAAATTTTAAAAGCGATAGCACTCAGGCCAAAGTTTGCAGTATGAGGTGTTGCTGTATTAATCAGTAACCGCTGTTTGGAGATTAGTAATTAATACCCATCACTTTGAATGCAGACAGAAACTCTAAATATTTTTTGGCGAACACGTCGGTTCACAACTCGATACGGAAATGTAACCATATGCCCGGTAATGAACTTAACCCCTGCTTTTGTGATGTGACTCTTAAAATTCTCAATTTCTCAATTCTTTAGGGGCTTTAGACGTCACGGATAATTTTGGCTTCTTTAGCGTTGTTTTGAGTGTTTTTCCTCGCTTATAATTTTATGTAACACCGCGAGAAGCTATTGTAAGAGTAATCCGAAATCTCTATTTAAAATTTTCAGGCAGTCAGGTTTTGTTATGTCAAGATTTGTACGTGAGGTACCCCACAGACCTTTTATAAAATAAGACGCTTCTTGAGCTGGAAAATATTGATTTGATTAAAACGACCTCACCATTTTATAGCAGCAGGACTCCAGCAGAGTAGTTTAATTTTAACATCAAATTTGGAATGTTATATTACAATCTCCTTTAGAACTCTCTGGTGTCAATTTATTCCCCACGCATTCGCTTTTGCCAGAATTTTGTCCTCAGGATATCTACTTGTTTAAGATGTTTTGAAACTATTTTTACTTAGGAACATATATTATTTATGTCATACAAGGCGATATCATTTACATCTGCGTTTTTGTTTATCTCTTTCGCATATATTTATCAAAACTTAAGTTTTGTCCCGCAAACTTATATAAAGATACGATAAATTGTTAGGGACTTTGGTATTTAGTTACCGTGCAGAATATGAGGGAAATACGTTGAATGTCGAACAAGAAATTTCTTGTTTAATTTAAATTTACATAGGTTGCAAGGATTGCTAATGTTGCCAATGTTGAATCTATCATTTGAGAGATTTTACCCAGTCTCCTATCATAGCTAAGTTCTAAATTATGTATGCTGTTTATTTTTATTCGTGTTGTACTGTCTGAATATTTGAAATGTGTGATGTAAACAGTGACTTCAGCAAGGGTCTGCCAGTGGTAATGTCCCATGTAAATGATCTGTTATTCTTTTCACATGGACGCCGGTAGTTTGCTCATGCAAAATTGATTAGGTTGACAAAGAGCTTTTCGCCAGGAATTTCAGGCTGACGAAGTAAATTTGAATCCCCCCTACGGCGAAAAAAACATAGGCAATCTAAACCTCTTCCCAGGGAGATCTGCACGTCATTCTGTGTCTAAATAGCCCTTTAAATGGACGAGAATGGCTAGGTCTAGTGTTTGTGATCTCAGAAGCCATCAAAATCGGCAAGGTCGCGGTAAGCAATTGTTTTTCCTTTTTTTTTTGAAACAAATTCTTTTTTTTTTTGGCATTTATCTAGTTTGGCATGCATGAGCTAACGTTTTGAAGTCTCCATGGGAAGGCTTGTCTCGAGATTTCACTAATAGCTTTCAGATGTCTCTGTAGCCGTCTGAAAGCGTTTTGTTGTTTCTTCTCTCATTGTCCACAGTGATGTTTTGGGGGTAAAACTGGAATGAACAGCAGTATTTTATTTGTTTTTTTCTTTGTAGACTCGCACGATTTAATTGTACGACTTAAAAATCATTTTGTGCTCGTTATAGGAATCGAACGATGTTTTGAAACAGGATTCCGATGGTGCTAAGGTAGCTTCTTAAAAATTTCCTACTCATCACAAGATTCAGTTTCTTTCTCGAAACAGGGAAGTGTTCCGATCGTAAGCGTCACGCACTTCCTTGCCATTCAGTTATCTAAGCAGAATTTCAACCGAATCTGTTCAATGGCACTCAACGTCAACAAAAATGTTGTTCATTAATTAAGACAGCAGACAGGAAAGGTTTTGACAATTCCGAATTTACAAGGAATGTATCGCAGGAAAAGTCTTCGTTTAAGGTTCTTTACTCTCTTTTTTTATTTGTTTCATTCTTTTCCAAGTTTCTTTATAATATTTCTTCTGTTGTGTTGAGTTATTTTTTTTTTCTTAAGAGGAAAGATCGCTGCCACACCTTGGTTAAAAAGAAAGAATATTAAGGTTTAATTTAAATTTAGGTAGAAACGCACAACTTTAACTCCTACTTTTAAAGTTTAAAGGTAAATATTATTCAGAAAGTCCTTTAAAACAAAACCTTTTTTTCGATATTCTTTAAAATATGTTCTTATACATTACATGAAGGTTTACCTTATTTAGCGCCACGTGTATAATTGCTTACTTTATACTTTCAAATTCTCTTCTTCATTAGTACAATTCATTCATGTGCAAATTTTTGACATGGAACATCAAAGGAACTTTGAATTTTCCATAACAAAGATGTTTATACGAAAGGAATTCTGGTGCAGACCGTCAAAGCTCCAAACATTATTACGTTTTACGTTACAAATCCAAGAGCTTACTACTTTGTGAAATCCCTGTTGACTCGAATGTCACTTCTGTTTCACTTTATATGGTCTTCTTTCAGTGCAGTAAAGCTAAGTCACCGGTATCGCTAATTCTACGAGAATGTTAAACAAAAATGACGGACTACAAACTGCGCTGATGTTGATGGCCGTTCTTGTTTGTTCATGTGAACAGTTCTCTGCAAACTTTTCCAGGTAAGTAATGTTTGTAACTCGTACGTTACCCTTACAATCTGCCTGGGTACTGCAGATTTCACCTTGCAAAAGAACCCAGTGTTTAAATGTATTTTTATTATAGTTAACGCTTTCCAGTTTGAGAAAAACTTGACGTTACAGATTACCCGATTGTGGTTCCTAAGCTGCTGGTAGAACGCTACGTTGTTGTATTTTTAGGTGGGTTCAGAATCTAGATTTAACAAGACATGGAAACTCAGCTGGGTCAAAGATTGATCAATTTAGATTATGCTATTGCGAAGACATGTCGCTATGGAATCTATTGTCTCAGTGAATTGTGACCACCTCGCGGTATTCATTACCAAAATTAACACCGCAGAAACATTTCACAGGTTTGACGAATGTTAAAATTACTTATTTTCCACAAAAAGGAAAAATGTGACGACGAACCTGTTTGGAGAAGACGTATTTAAAAGGCCCAAAAGATGTCGTGGCCGGCAAATCCTGCAATCACGGGAGTTTGTTGTGCGTTTAAATCAATTAAACTGCTCTTCACAGAACCAAAGTGAAACTTCCCTTTTATCGCAGTTCCCAGTAAAAAGGGTGTTCTGAAGTTAGAAATCTTAAAGACAATTTAATTCTTTGGCAGTCTGTTTGTATAGAAGCCTTCTTAAGGGACAATATTTTTATTTTCAATTGCATGCAGTCAGTATTTGTTGAAAAACAGTTATGTTCGACGCATTGTGTTTTAAATAATTCGCAACCAATTTACAGCTTAAGATGTTTCATATGCATGGCTGCTTTTATTGTTTTCTTTTTGTTAATTGTCTGTGTAGTAAAGATAATGACAAGGATCGCTTTCATCTGTCTACGTACAGTGGTAAATATAAATTGGTAGCGAATGAACTCGATCTTGTGAAGGACATATTTGCACGGTAAACTGTTGTCCATGTTTTCACGTGTATCGGTTTCTAAAGATGGCCTCAAGCTGGAACTGCGTAGATGTAACTTTCCAAGCTAGAAATGTCTCCTTGTCAAATGCCTGTGTGGTTCTTGTAATGTTGGTTTCGAGGATTTGGTTTCATATCTACATGTAGGTCACAAGTTGACATTTGTTTGAATACCTCTTACCGGTCATCTTACTGACGCCCCGTGCACACTGAGCCGGAGGAATTTGAAAACGGAGTTTTAACCCTGGAAAAGAATCAATTGTTTTCCATCCACACTCAGGCGCCGGGCGATTTTAAAAACCCCCAAAAATTACCGGTCATTTTGGATTTGTGTTTGAGGAAAACTAGTTAACGGAATATACATGATTATTGTGACTCCATCAGTTTGGAATAGCTCTGTTTTTAACATGTTTTCCGTCCACACGAAAACAAAAAGCCGGCGTTTTCAAATTCCACCGGTTTAAAGAGCGTTTTCGAAAAGCTCCGTTTTCGTGACGGATTAGTGTGGACGGTTAGGCCTTACCGCAGAAATAAAGCTACGTTTTCAAATTTCTCCGGTATGGTGTGGGTGGGGCCTAAGTGTGTTCACAGTCTTTAGAATTAAAAAGTTAAAAACATGAAAGAGCGGAATTGTTATTTTTCATTGTTAGGTCTTTTCGCACCTGAAATTAACGCTCTGCAGTTACCAAGCATTTCGTCGACATAGTTTTGTTTTTCAACGTGTTAGAAACAAGAGGCAATCCTCAATAATGGCTAGGAATTTTAAATTTATCTCAATTACATCAATTTCACAAATGCGAAGCCGTGTCAAAACTTGAATTAATGAAACGTGAGCTGATTTAATTCTGAAGGAATTTAAATGTTTCTGATGGGTGGTTATCAGCAAGGGCGGTTTAATCTCCTTGACTATTTTGAAGTAAATTAACAAACTGAGCTCACAGAACAAAGGTTGTGGGTGGGTTCCGCGTAACCACCCTCGTTTATTAGGTTTGCTTCCAAGCAAAGTAAAAGTCTGGAACACGAGAACATTCAGATAGAGCGAGTGATAGAAGCAATCACTTTTCGTAATATTCTGTCTGTCATTGATGAAAAGACGTTCTCTTGTGAACGAAGAAAGGTAAGAATCCGCCGCCGGTTTGAATCCTGCTGTAGGTTATAGCTGAATCTTGCTCCAGGGTATAGAGCGTTTTCAGGTGACGTCACGGCAGCCATATTGGTGTTCTAAAACAATGAAACGGCGGCCATGTTGGTGTACCAAACCAATCCTGTGGGAGTTAAACTCTTTTCTTATGTAAAAACTTTCTTTTATTCCAACAAATCTGCATGGGTGCCAGCCTAGTTAGTGAAAACGACCTATAACTGGAAGCAGGAATGACATCTAAAGCTTTGTTTTATCCTTGGCGAACAATCGCGTTATCTTACTGTTGTATCTTCTAGTCATAACAGGTCGTTCAAGGCTTACGAAAACTCCACCTGGATAGTGGAAACCCTTTTGAAAGACTACGACAAAAGAATCAGACCTGGTGTGAAGGGTGAGTAATTTAGTACCAAGACAAGTTGTCATCTAAGGTCTGAATAGCGTACCTGTCAATCGAAGCTTAGTCATAATGCATACAGGAAGAGGAAGAGAGGTAACTCCAGTTAGTATTTTAAGGAGCTACGTCACGGTTTGCGCAATCCGTGTCAATCTTCTCCATCCTTAACCATCCTTGTTCCTTTATGGTTTGTTATTTTCTCTTTGGCATTTTTCTATCTTGGTGAACTGCTATTTTCAGATTTTGTTCAATTTAAAGGTAATTTTGCACTTGATCAAAATACCGTGACTGAGCTCCTTTAAGTGTTATTTTGTAACTTTCCTGCCCCATCAAGAGTTGTCCGTACTTCACAAACTTTTAAAATTGGGTCATTCCTAAAGCTATTATCATGTAAACGATGGCTTCTGCAGGCCTGCAAAGATATAAGAAACCTAATCTCAATCCGTCTTTCTCGAACATTCAAATGCGTTTTGTTAACCTTTCACAACACAGTCACAACTTAGTAAATCAAACACATCTTTCTTATTTAGGTTCTCCAGCCGAAGTGCGAGTTGACATGTACGTTGCCAATATCTGGGCCATGGAAGAAGTTAAAATGGTAAGAGTTACTCTCTACCTACTTAATTAAACACAATGATTAGCGATGTTGTAGCTTTACCAAGGCAATATTAGTAGCAGTTTTTTTAGTGAGGAGCTCACTCCAAGAGTTCGTTTGCCCCTGAATTCATATTTGCAGTCGAAATAGAATGGGGTACAGTTTGGTGTGAAGACTGCAATTTCCTCTTTCATGTTCATGCCAAATCCGTTACGACACTACAAACCCAAAACAAAACAAAACAAAGCAAAACAAAACGTTAACCAAAGCTAAACAGCCGTGTTCTGTATGCTGATTGTTTAAAGGACTTCACAATTGACATTTACCTGCGCCAGTACTGGAGGGATGAACGCTTAGCTTTTGCTGGTCTGACCTCTGATCCAGTCCTGACACTAAGTAGCAACATTAACAAACAGATATGGATACCAAGCACTTACTTCTTAAAGACCAAGAAAGCGTATTTCCATGACGTGACCACGGAGAATTATCTGCTACAGATTCGGCCTAACGGAAGCATCTTCTACAGTGTGCGGTGAGTCAAGAAGGCTGGCAATAGTTTACAGCACTTTTCTAACAGCTCTACTTTAAAGGATGAATCGTACCACAAGTGATGCTACAATAATTGTATCACACAAATGCCCAACCGTTAATATTGCTTAACAAGGTGCGGCCATCCTTTTTATATAACAGGTTACCATAGAAACAATACAACCTGTTGAAAACACCCTTAATTTGAGCTTTAAGTGCTTATAACTCAAAATCGAGCTCGGTGACCCCATTTTTTGTTATTGAACTGTAGTAAACATGATAAGGTGCAACTTTTTACAACGTTTAAAAAACATCTGCGAAGAGAGTTCAGTGCCACGTTGCACAGTAAAAGAATGGATCAGGAACTTTCGTAGATGCAGCAACTTGCCAAGTCTCTGAATTGCTAGTTACAATTAATTTTTTTCTTTTTTTTTTTCAGACTCACAATAACTACTTCATGTACGCTGGATTTGCGTAGATTCCCTCATGACACCCAGATATGCTCATTAGCCCTAGAGAGTTGTAAGTATTGTCACAAAACTGTGTCATTTTCTGTCAAAAAGTGAGATATCCATCATTTTTTTGAAAATTTGTTCAACTCTGACGAAAATACATATAATTATCAATGGGGAATTCGGCACATTTGTTTAACTTTTGCAATCCCGCTATTCAAATTCTTTACTTCCAGACACTTTCTTTGCGATTCTCAGTAGATTAATATTCACCACTCACTTTAGATGGATATCAAACAACAGATGTGTGGTACGCGTGGAACCCCAGAGACGACAACACCTCAGCCATTTATGTCAACAATGAAGTGGAGCTTCCTCAGTTTGAGTTGGCCAGTGTGGAGAAAACATCAGCAATAAACAAATACAATATAGGTAATTATACCAACAACGGTGACATTACAGAGTACCAATATCTTGTATTATTATTCTTTCGCTGTGGTGTGGAATGCAACTCCATTCTAGGGCCACAGTCGTGCGTTTGATATCAGGTCTGTCTGGACGTGATGAGCGGGTGGTCTCGCTGAGACATCGTCGGTTTTCAGGGTTTCAATTCATAGAGCCACTCATGGGAATATTGGTCCCGGCCATTTCTGGGAAAACACCTTGCGCTCAAAGGCATCTTGTATGAAAAACTAATTTAGTAAGGAATTTAGGTTTACAGAGGCAATCCTTCTAATCTTATTCATTTATTCTCTTCTGTGACAAACAGAGACTGTAAGTTTTTTTTGTCGCCCTAGGTAACCACTCTTCCTTGATAGCCATTTTCAAGATGAAGCGCCGTATTGGCTACTTTTTGATTGACACTTACGTGCCATCCACCATCATCGTCATCATTAGCTGGATATCGTTCTGGATTAACCCGGATACTGCGCCTGCGCGCGTAGCTTTGGGAATCACGACTGTTCTTACGATGACGACACTCATTTCCAGTGCACGTGCGTCACTCCCGAAAGTGAGCTACGTGAAAGCAATAGACTGGTATTTACTCCTGTGCCTTATCTTTGTTTTTGGGTCCATTTTGGAGTACACGTTTATAGCTTTTATGATCAACGTTAGGAATAAAAACAAGAAAAAGGCTTTAACGAACGGCGAATTGTGCTCGAAGGTGAGAACGTTTTATTTCTTTCAGTGATATTGAAGACTGCAGCCTTTTCAGGTTTCTTTGCAGTTGCTCAAATAAAGCGAGCCATGCATTGTTGCTGTTTTCTTCATACCATCCACAGTTCGCACTTACCTCTAGACACATCATTTTATAAAAGTCGTTTGTCAATATGAGGCTATGATTTACTTGCTGGATGAATAAGTGAGATTTTAAATGATCAAAATAACACTACAGTAAGAAATATTGTTTAGTAATAACAAATTCGTTGAATGTACATGAAAAAATATACCACGCGTAATAGGAGCAGTGAAGAGAGTAGCAATTATGAAATTCAGTAGGTAAGATCATTTCATCCAGTTACGCTTTTCTTTATAATTGCGTGTACTATTTTTACCTAAGGAAAGGGACGAAACAAGAGAACTGCTGTCCATGTTTGGTCCAAAGTGTTCTCCTCGACGGGGAGCCGCCCTGAAGCGAGTGTACAGTCATGCTGAAACAGACTCACTTGGCGCAGACACGAAAACGTTTCCGGAAAAATCCGAGAATACGAAATGGCACATGATTGGTGATCCGCTCATTATTGACAGGTGCTCTCGAATTGGGTTTCCTCTCACGTTTTTCGCATTTAATTGCATTTACTGGCTAGTTCATAGCAAAAGTTAAAGTATGGCGTGGCATTAAAGAAAGAAAGTTTTCTAAGAATCGTGTCAATGGCATCGGAGACATCGAAGACTGGACTAAAAGAAAACTGAGGCGGATTTGAAATAGGAACAATGGTTGTATCAATTATTTTTTACACTTTGATTCAATTATTTTCTACACTGTGATGCTGGCCATTCAGTGATTTGTACTGTTAAAAAGAGTATTGTTTGACTATTGTTGCTAAGGTTGGTTTGCCGTCGTATCGTCCTTTGGAAGATGTTCAGGATTAAAGATTTAATCATAGAACTATGAAAGAAAAACTTCTTGAGAAAGACGCATAGCCTTTAGAGTAAATTAAAAAAAAAAAAAACATATTCGGATGGCGGTTTATATGTAAGTTAACTTTTAGGATACTTAATAAATGTAGAAAAAGTACGTTTTTTTGTGGCTTGAATTAGTCAACCAAACCAGAAAGAAACCCTAATAATTGTGCAGTACTTTTTTGTGCCACTGTTTTTCTTTATTTTGTAGACGTCGGTAATAAAAGACATGACTGCCTAGTGTGTAACCATTCAAATGAAACCATTTAAGTTTTTGTGTTGTTTTACTGTGGCTCTGCCTTTAGAAATGTTTGTTTTTAAAATTGTCCTAAAAATCGTCAACTTTTATGAAACGTTGTCAGCTTTTTACTTAAATCAAGTATTAATTTAAGAAATGGTTATTATTAACTGCGTGTTTTTTGTACATCCATATCTCTTACATTAGCAACATTGTACATCCCATTTCTGTTTATGCATAGTTATGTACTTAAGATATCCTAGCAAAGTGGAATTACATTTGCTTTCTTTGCTAGCATCTCGATGTTGTATACCGCCTACCATCGAATAATTTGTATGAGATCTTATCATTACAAAATATTAATTATATTAACAATAAAGTTATATAGCAGAACGTATTTCATTGACAATAGTTCCTCTTGATCGTATGTTAAAATTTAAAGAGTCCAAACCTGTTTGTCAACAGTTCGACAGTTTAATTTTATTACTTTATATGATTATACTTCTAAACCATAATCGAGAAAGCGATAAAAGTAATTGTAAAAATTCTGTTTACAATTTCGGTCGTTGAATTTTGATACAGCTAGAAAGAATTTTAGCAATTGAAAATTAAGAAGTAATCTCATTTTCGTTTTGTGTTTCAAGTTTGGAAATTTACACAAAAAAGTAGATTTCCGAAAGGTATCAGAAATCTTAACTAGAACTTATTATCTGAATTAATCATACCCGTAGTTATTTTGTTTTGGTATTATGTGGTTAAAGTATACAGGTTACTTGATTCAAAAGTTTTATTTTGTTAATATTAAATGAAGCTCTAAGCTATGAACATAACAAAAATAGTTATTATATACAGGTGTATAAAGTCTGTTCAGGAATACTGATCACTATTTATTTAGCTATAACGATTAAGGAGTTTTCCTTGGAATAAAGGTTGACATAAACATCTTTTGGAAACGTTCTCTGATTGGTCTTGTGTTTAATGTTTCTGACTACGTATAATCAATGGCTATTCTAGAAGTCGCCATGTTGCGAAAAAATATCAAGGACAAAGTACCTCTCACTTGGCTGCGTGTATTATCAGCCACAAAAGCCGTGTTTATTTGCACTTTACTCCTTATTTTCCATTGAGTATACCCAATTCTACAACTGTATTCATTCACTCGTGCATTGATAGTTTTATAAAACATATAAACGGAAGGACAAAAAAAAAAAAAAACAATCTGAGTCTGGAGACTGTAGTAACCCGAACGTTTTCTAGTCAGTCGTCAGTTATTATAATGTTCTATAGATAGTAAAGAGAATACAGAACTGTTAAGAAAAGAGTTTTAAGAATGCAGTTGAGACAGTAAATATAAAGAAAGAAAGAAACTCGCACCAAAAAGGATTTTTAAATACAAACTGAAACAGTTTTTAGTTCACCATTTTTAACCTTAGTTAGCGGTAGATTTTTAATCCTAGTTCTAGTTTTAAAGCTAAGTTTTAGTATTACGTTTTTAGTTTTTATTACTTTTGTATTTTAGACACTTAATGTATATTTTAGACTTTTATTTTTTAGAGTACCCTCCTACAAACCACCTCTTAAAATATTAGTTTATTATTTATTTTGTTATTATTATTATTATTATTATTATTATTGTTATTATTGTTATTAGAGCGGTGTTCAATTGAGTGTCGAAAGTAATTAGACAATTACTTTGGTTTTGGTTTTGGTTTTACTATGGTTTGAGATTGGCTGAGTAGTCTACTTGGTAAGTAATTGGTTTGGTTTGGTTTTACGACACTCGATTGAAAACCGCTCTATTATTATTATTATGATTATTATGATTATTATGATTATTATGATGATGATGATTATTATTATGATTATTTTTATTATTATTATTATTATTATTATTATTATTATTAGAGCGGTTTTCAATCGAGTGTCGTAAAACCAAAACCAAACCAATTACTTACCAATTAGACTACTCAGCCAATCTCAAACCGTAGCAAAGCCAAAACCAAAACCAAAGTAATTGTCTAATTACTTTCGACACTCAATTGATAACCGCTCTATTATTATTGTTATTATTATTACTATTATTATTATTACTATTATTATTATTATTATTATTATAATGCGATAAGGCAAGTGGGGATATTGTCTCAGAGAATAGTCACTGTGTAAGGTATTGTTTGTTTTCCAGAATTGGTAGGCTCTTTTGATATGTTTAGATTTTGTCTACATGCATATCTGATAATGTATACGTGTACTGACGTATTGAAGACGTAACATGGCGACATAACATAAACCATGGAGAAATCGAGCTCAAGTACATGAAGAAAGCAAGCATGCAAAAGAAATATACCTTAAAAGCCGATTGTAAGTCCTCCTGTAAGGGTTTTGGGTGGGCTTATAATTATGGAGGCTTATATCGGGAGAATGGATGAGGTTATAAGTGGTATAATGAGCTGACAAAAAGACTGATGATGGACATATATTTAAGCTATAGCTAGTAAACCTTGCGAAACACTCCGAAAACATTGGTTGTAAACAGGTTTTTATTTACTGATGAGACGATAAATCTGTTCTTTTTTCCAGAAAATGTTGTCACTTTAAATTCTAGCTAAACCTGCAAATATTTATCAGACATATTACAGATAGCTGAAAGATTCTTTAATTTTTTTGTACAATAGCAGTCAGGTTCTGTGTGAGTGGTTTTGAGAAAAAATTGAACAAATATTGTAAATTAATTTCAAAAAAGAAATTGATTTACCATTAAATACCACTCATGTCTAACAAGGTCAGAACCAGAGACGGACCGTCGTAAAATCTCAGCATTTCTCTGTATTTGATAATCATCTGGTGTTAAAAGATAGAAGATCTCTTTCACTGATAATTGAACTTCAGTTCTTCGAAACTCAAGCCACCAGGGCTCATTTTATCTTGTTTCACGTAGTGTGAAAACGAAGTACCGTCGGCATTATATTCGCAGGCTACTTAACAGTTGTGTTTATTATTGATTGGATATTAGATATCAATATAAAATAATCTCATCTTTAAATAATTCTCTTTAAACTTATTCATAAATTCTCATTTTTTTTTGTATTAAAAGCTTTCTCAAAGGGATCTCTGTCAGTATTTATCATACCTATTCGTCTCTCACATGCATTTTAGTGATTCCGTACTGCAGTTCCCGAAGAAACGAAATAATATTCAGGTCAGCCATATCGAGGCAATTTGGTGAAAGTACTTTTTCTCTTTCATTTCCCAAAGTTGGTTAACATCTTATCACACAGCCATTGTCAACACATTGTCAAGTAGCAAGTGAGACGAATAAAGATCCACTCTGGAAACCAAGAAACACTCTGACAGTCACGTGATTTAGTTCAGTGGTCACGTTGGCGGTGTTCTCTTCGTGTTTAATTTGAGCTTTGATCACAGCATTTCGGCAAAAGGCAAATCTCAAACTATATTTCTTGAGGTTAGCGGGAATGCAACAAACCGGAATCGAGAGATCTCTAACTAATTATAACAGCTTGGCAATGAAAGAGTCGAGTGACTGGGGTCCTTGTGACGTATTGTTTGCCATGCATGCCCCAGGTCTCTAGGCTTGCTATCATCCCTCTTGGTCGATGCAGACCGAGTTCACTGTGAAGACGTGGGAGATTGAAACAACGCCTCCGCCTCAGCGCCCGCATGCTCAGAATATTACTTTATCTGGCGCATAAACAATCCAGTATATAGAGTTCAACACGGCGAAGGTGACAGGGAAGTAAATCCTGGCGTATTTGTCCACAGTATACGCAGGCTCTGACGTCATAAAGGCAGTTTCATAAGGGTCCCAGAAGTAGTGATGGTGCTTCTTTGGAGGCTGAGAATCACATTCTTCTAAGTCATCTGTTTCCTGTGTAAATGTGAAAAAAGGAACATAAAATAAAATTTAGACATTAGATGTACAAACGCGAAAAGTAGATGTCCTGTTTCACTGGATCACCTAACTGTTGGCGAATCTGTCCTGTGCATCAGAATCGTGAATTTCTTTCAGTTAAAACATGTCTAGTTTTATCCTATATGCCTTGACATCCTACGAACAAAAGAGGTCGTGCGCTGGAGTTCAAAGCCGTGAAAGGCATTTGAAACCTTACAACGGGGTTTCAAGGAAAAGGGATAGATTACATAATAATAAAAAAAAGCATTGTAAACTTTTAAAATTACCACAGTCATTTTTAATATGCAAGGCAAAGGACGCTTTGAAAACAGACGTTTTTCGCTTCCTGTTGAAAACTGCACGTGGTACAACCTCTCTTGTGTGCAACTAAACACTTGTCAGTTTATTTTGTAGCGATTTTTGCTTTAAATTATCGCACAGCCTGGTAGAAAATGTCTTCTGAGTGCACTGAAGACGACACAACATTTCCTGCATTACTTATGCCCCTTACCTTTTGTCGAGGTCGGCGAGCAAATCTAAATTTAGGATTTTTTTTATTCAGTTGCCCTCGAGGAAAAAATGGATTCTTGCTGTCTCTGAAAAGAAAGACGAATGTTAATGCTCATCATTATCGAAAAATAACACGTCGTTACATAAAAATTTCATGAAATCAAAATTCCTTTTCTTGAAAGAACTGTTGGGTTTAATTTTACACTTTTTATCATAACTGCGACATGTAGTTGGCACTATGACGTAATCTAAATTGGCTTCCAGACAGAAAACAGTTCACTGCGTGCGCTATGTCACTTATGTTAGTAAAAGCAGTTTTCTTTTGGCTTACAGAAGTCTGTTGTTCTTTCGTACGTAATGGATAAGACAATTGTATCAATTCATTGTACCTAGTTTCTATGTAATAGTAGCTATTAATCCCGTTGTAAACAGGTTTGTAATAACTGCATGGTCCGACACATTTACTTCGAACATACACTAACTTCAAACTTACACGACAACAGCCAGCCTGTAGCTTCCGTTGCTTTCACTTTTCTTGAGCGAGCCATTCAGATACGAGCCGGTTTTGTCTTCTTTCTCAGATTCCTGTTCTAAAAACTAACAGGAAAACATGTGTTTAAGCTTCAAGCTATTATAATAGCAATTTTCTCCTTTAATACCAATTGTAATTTTTAGGGGTGGTGAATGGTGAATGCGAGACTTTGCGAGACGGCGAGACTAGCGTTTTTCTTTACGAGCCCGAGACATATTGACTTTTTAGATTGCGAGACCGAGACTTCAAAGTGTTTTGAATGCGAGCGCGAGGGGCTCAGACTCTTAAAATTCGAGTCCCAGATTTAGTTGAGAGCTATAAGAATGAGCGAGAATGAGCTTGCACAGAAGTCTTACAAAGGAGCCTTTTGTCGTAAATACTTGTGCCTTTACACAGTTCCACAGGGGACAATTTATAAGTTCTTCGACTTCGTGGGTTTCATCATGAGCTATCGTGGGTTGTGTGTCGTTTCTTGATTCCCCTTTTAGCCTCTTAGCCAGCCTTTGCGAACGAGCTGGAACTGGAAATTCGACTATAACACACTACGTTAGGATATCCTGGAACAAAATAACTGTTTTTTGGCGCCAAAATGACGTTGCGGTAAGTTTTGTAGCTTTTTGTTGAATTCAGACAATTTGGCAGAAGTTAGGATTAACTTTTTCTCGGAAATTTGAAAGTTGCTTTATTGAAATTCAATATCAAGTGACGAGAAGACGTCATTTATTAAAACAAACAAACGAATCGGAACTTCGAAATCCGTAACCTTGCAAAAAGTCGAGACTCCGAGAGAACTTCGTATAAAAGTCGAGACTGCGAGGCGCACATAACTGCTAAAAAAACGAGACTGCGAGACCAGTGAAATTCGACTAAAATTTTGCGAGACCCAGAGTTTAGGAAGGACCATTCGCCACCCCCTATTTTAAGTGACAATAATTTCTGCGAAGTAGCGATTAATCGATAAGTTAAGTGTGAGCAATTTTATATTTGTGATTTTTATGATTGCTTGGCGTGTATCGATATTCTAAATAGCCGAAATAACGTTTTGATCGCCCTAGATTTTGCAGTCTTGGTAGCTCCTATATACTAACCTCTTTTTCAGCTTTTCTTGAGTCTTTCTGTCTCTTGTACTGAACTTTACACGAGTAAAAGTTCACAATTGCATACTCCATGAGCGCACCGAACACGTAAACCAAGCACATGAGAAGGAACCAATCAATGGCCTTGGTGTAGGAAACCTTAGGAAGCGGCGCACGCGCACTGTTTGAAATCGTGATCATCGTCAACACTGTTGTGATACCCAGTCCCACGCGGGCTGGTGGCGAATCTGGCGAAATCCAGAAGGAGAACCAGGATATTGTCACCGTTAACATCGACGGGATGTATGTTTGGATCATGTAGTAACCAAGGCGACGGTGAAACGTGAACTTTGCGACTAGCGCAGAGTGAGGCCCTGAAACAAAACAAAATAACATCAACCGTACTCTAAATATCTTCAAACAGACAAAAAAAATATACGTTTCTTTCACCAATTGTCGTATATTCATTACGCTCCTTTCCACAACAATCCTTGACAAACCGATATTGTAGATATTGGTCCTCTCTTCCAGTTCCACTTTGGTGATCATAAACTGAGGCATCTCCAGGTCCTCTGCAATGTACACTACGTCACCTGTGGAATTTCGTGAATTCCATTTGTAATAGACATCTGTGGCTTGATAACCATCTGTAAAAGACACAAATATTATTATATAGTGTCTCGCGACAATGTGGAAGGCGAGGAAAGGTAAATGAAGTCATTCCTTCAAGTCTACGAAAATCTCGGATCTACCAGCTAGGGTAGACTCACTTTGATTCTACCCTGACCCCCGACACAAATATCTTCCCTCCCCCCTCCGCTCCCCAAACCCGAGAATGTTTAAGAGTGAGAAATTGCAAGTTAGGCCAAGCAAGGTCTGTAATTTTAGACGTATTCTAAACAAGACGTGGAAGATGCGTTCTGCAGATTGAAGCATTCCTATCAAATACATTTGCTGAACGTTAAGTTTACTGATTTCCCTTTATTGCAACTGCTTGAATTGTTGGTAGTCGAGAGGCAAAGAAACGGTTGTACTTACAAGACTCCAGCATCACGGTACAGGTTTGTACGTCATGTGGAAACATCTGAAGGTTGAGTTTACAGGCCATTGTCACTGTTAGTCTAACGTGAAGAGAGAAACGAGTCTATCAGTTATAAATGCGTAGTAATTATTCACAGGAAATTATATGCTCTTTTTAGTTTGACTGTAGTTACGGAATGAAGGGACAAAAGCTATTTGTCCAGTTGTAATTATTATATAACTGGAACCATGTTACCACTCAGTTGACACAAAAAAGGCTTCTCACCTCACGCTATAGAATATGTTTCCGTCAGGTTGAATTTGGAGTAAGTAATTGTCCGTTGTGACATCATGGAAGTAAGCTTTCTTAGCGTTGAAAAAGTACGTACTTGGAACCCAAATCTCTTCTATTGTTTGTCGATTTAATGTCAACGTTTTCTGTATCTCGTTCTCTGGAAAGGATAGGCGGGGATCCTCCCAGTATTGGCGAAGGTAGATGTCGATGGTAAAATCCTGACAGAAAACGTATTTAAAATTTGTTAATAAGTCGAGTAAAAAATTTTCATAAAACATAATGTTATAAGTAGTACATTCGTATTCACGGTACTAATATGAAACAATTTTCCTTACTATGCCTGCATCTCTGCAGGAAATGGAAGTTAAATCGAGCAATTTTCTTTTACAGCTCTTACCTTCGTTTTAAAAACTGACAAAAACGTCTCCGAAGAGTCAACTTTATACAAGAGAAGATGAAAAGTAAGAGAATGAATCCACCAATCTGTCACAAGTTATTTTTAGATCAGTGGCCGTTTGAGAAATCTTAGGACGTGGAGGGCGGAAGTAGCTTCACACCCAACTACACAAGGCACGTGGTAGCTTATCATTGAGAGAACTGGGTGCTATATCTAGAAATAACTTAAGAGGGATTACATTGAGATTGGGGCCTGTATGGGAGATAAACTCTCTTAACCTCATCCTCTCTTGCTATATGTAATTACCATTCGTGCTTCTTCTATCGCCCAGATGTTCGACACCAGCATATCGACTCGAACGTCCATCGGCAAAACTGAAAATAACAAAATACAATTTAATGCACAGGATTTCAGTGATCTTGCTGCATTTTTCTCAAGACAGTGCTAAAATTATGACTGAATACCTTTACTTTGTAGGAAATGTTCAAACGGAGAACAAATTGTAACAAGTAATTTGACAAATTTTTCCCTAATACAGACTTCACACTAGTTTAATTCAATAGCATCTATCAGTTTCGAGAAAATATCGTCTAAAAATGTTACTTTATGATATACGAGGCTACCATTTTGTATACAATTGTAATTATGATTCGATGCATGCTTTCTTCCCTTTCATTGGCCGACAGCCCATCACATAACCTGAAAGTAACTGCCTATAAGTAATGGTCTCCTCATGCGTAATACTGTCTAAATGTGATTTACTGAAAATAATATTCTACTCATGGGTAAATGAAACCAGGGTGAAAAATGACAGATCTCTTCCCTGAGCTGTCAGAGTGATTTTTAAAATGTGAAAGCAAATTTAGTGATCGAATGATAAAACAATTATTGAACTCGGTTATCGCAAAACGTTGTGATTGGTCAATGTCCCGCATCTGTTAGCCACTGACAATCACGATATTTTGCTTCGCCAATAATTGTTCATTATTCGCTTCGACTATTCCATGTTTAGGGAGAAATGATTTTGATGTCTGCATGCCTATAACGACATTGGGTACGCGAGGACATGAGAGGATGGAAATACCTGCTTGTAGTAATTTGCATTAACTGGGCATTTTCTGTGAAAAGCTTTTATCTTAACCTGCCATCTTATTTAGCTTCTGTGTAAAGTGCACTAAGGGCTGTTATTTGCGCGAGGTAAAATTTCACCTAACAATTTCCAAAAATGGATTACGCTCCAAGTTCTCTTGCAGAATTTTCGCGCTCTGCAACATTCATGTTTAACATATCGTAGTAAAGAGGCAACATGTACCTAAACTAGTGTTTTCCCGATATTTATGTTTTCATTGTAGAATTAATTTGTTAGTTTTAAGTCAGTTTCGAAATCCTACAGCAGGTGGCGTTAAACATCTCGAAAACAAGAAAATCCATTTGCTGTTTAGAAGGATTGCACGGCTTTCATCAGATTGTAAGACCAAGTTAAATGAGCACTATTAAAATGACTTTGCTATTGGAAGAAAATAAGAACAACAGATGAAAATTTAACTAGACACTAACAGAACAAGCTTCATTCGAAGATGAATTATATTACATACTGTAAAGCTCTAATTTATCTTTCAGTTAGCACTGTAGATTGCGTCTCTTTTGAATTAGATAACACTTCAACTGAAATCTTTTGCATCAAGATTAACACATAATTTTTGACGTTTCGTTGTAAAGTTCTTTTCTGTTTGCAGTTGTCACGAAACTTAAAAACCTGCAAAAACTGACCCAGTAAGACTGTGACAAAAATCAGACGGTATTAGGGTAAAAGTAAAACGGATGAATATAAAAATCATCGAGGTCTAACTTAGAATGATGGTGTCTTTTTCTAAGTTGCAGATTATGACATTACGTGAGAGGTATGTCTCTAACTAATTTCCAGTTTGAAAAATCCACTAGAACGCGTCACTAAAATAGGCTTTTGTGTATTATGCTTTTAGTTCCTGAGCTCTTTAATACCCATCTATTGCTCCCGCTGCAACAGGGCTACGAAAATTTTGGATAATGGTGATGATCCATAAATAGACTCATTTTGTTTTCGTTTTCGTTTTCGTTTTGTTAATTACAAGGAGCTCAGGGTAACTCTGACAACAACCTATAAGAGACATACCATAAACTCTCAAAGACAAACACAGTGGTTCTTGATAAAATGCCAAATCGTGTGTTTTCCATTTTCTTGTGTTTGTTCAAAATAACTAAAATTAAAATATTTGCTTCCCTAAAATGCTCGAAAAAGTGCGTTTATAATGTACGACATAGGCCCACAGCAGTGACCTCTCAAGGATTCAGAAATTCATTGAAAGGAAACTAGTGTGGAACTCAAATAATTTTTTTTGAAAGTCTGAATCAATATTTGTTTTCGTCGCTGTTAGTGGTGAGCTCGTTTACGTAAATCCATATTTGCTATGTGGGTATTCCACAGTTATAAGTAAATCTGGCCAATAAGATGCACTTCATTAAAGGAAATAAGATGCAATTCACATGGTGTAATTTTTATTTCAATCTGAATAGACATTTGTTTGTGTCGACTTCAATGGTGTTGAACTCGTTCAGGTAGATCAATATAAGCTCTGTGCGTAATAAACAGGTTGGAGTATAGATTTTACCAATGAGACAAGACGTTCTTAAGATGTGCTTTCAACATCTTGTAGATAACGACGCCATTAACATATTTTATGAGCAACATTTGTTATTTGTAATATAAATAGCTATTAAATACGTCAGAAAAGAAATTCAATATGAAGTAAAATAATGAATTGTGTACATCAGGAAACCCTGGTCGAAGTTAAGGTGTACATGTACGTTTGAATCCAGTAGGATGAATTATACAGACAGGGAGAAGAACGAATCGTTAGATGGTTATGCAAAGATTGAAGACAACCACGAGTCGATTGAAACTGCTGTCGTCATTATCTGTGTTCTTAATGCGCCATTGATGTTCATATCCATCGCTGGGAATCTCTTGGTTTTGACCGCCATAAAAAGATCTCCTTCAATTCGTTCAAGTTCAATAACAATGATTTGCAGTCTCGCTGTCTCGGATCTTCTTGTTGGGTTTATCGTCCAGCCGTTTTTTCTAGCCAGCCTTCTTACGAGGGCTTCTCTCATCGAAAGGGTGTCTAAAATAACGGCATTTTGTTTATGTGGAGTTTCTCTTTGCACCATGACTGCCATTAGTATAGATCGGTTTCTGGCTCTTCAATATCCAATGCGATATCAAGCAACAATTACAGCCAAACCACGCACTCTAAATACGTTGGTCGTAATCATATGGATAAGCAACTCTCTCTTTTTAGGTTTCTATGTTTGGAATTGGCCTGTATACTTTATTATAATAGCTAGTGGTGTTTGCCTTTTTATCTTAGTTTCAACGTTGTGTTACATTAGAATTTATCGGATCGTTCGTCACCATCAAACTCAGATTCAAGCTCAACAACAGGCGGCACAGCAAAACTGTACAGAAGGAGATAATACCAACATGGTGCGGATGAAAAGGAGTGCTTTGAACACATTTATATTTTACATTGCTATGATTCTGTGTTATTTTCCAATAATAATCTCTTTGTGCATTGCAAGTATAACGTCCAAGAATTTGCCTGAAGTGTGGCACTTGGCAGATACAGTGGTATTTTTGAACTCGTCTGTTAATCCCTCGCTATATTGTTGGCGTCTTAGGGAAATTCGTATGGCAGTTTTAAAGATATTAAGACAAATATCACGCCGACAGGCAGACCAGCACTAAGTTTTTTGTGTTTTGTTTTGTTTTTTACTCAAAATAAAAATAAAAACAAACAAAGTTGCACGCACAACTGAATCCTGCCTGCCTGTAGACGGAAAGTGTAGCGTTCTTCGCGATAAAAGGACAATGACAACGTGGAGAATGATATTCATTTATATTGAAATATATCTTATTTAGCAAATGAATCGATATGTCCGTTGGATTGCTCACAGCTACGATCTGTGCTTGATTACTCTGCGAGCATGAACCATGATTGTGAAACAGTATGTCCACACTACACCTGCGACAACTAACAAGCAACGATGCCTAGCAAGAGGTCTTCTCTAACCTATTAAGACGAAATCCGATAGGAAATCGAGTAATTTCAGTTTTTACTGGACAAAACCTTGTACCAGAATAACTTTAAGTATACTACAGTCCTTTTTTGTATTTTCTAAAAGCTAAAGATATAAACGGTTTCCTGATATAACACCAAAAACAGTTTTCCATGGAAACTCGAGAAATATATTTCAAAGTTCAGAAAAAATGTGCCAACATGGTCAACACAGGTAAAATTTCATCGTCAGTTTCATTTCACCAGTACTTTCAAGTGTTTCATATGAACTTCAAACTTTGTTTTCGACATTTAGTTTTGTTAGAAATCATTTCTTTAAGAAGATATTTTAAACAGTCGCACAGAAGGTTCCAATACAACGTAAATAACCTCGATAACAAAGTTTTATGTCCGCTTGTTACTCGAACTCAGTTGTGGTGGATTCCTTTTAAATTATCTTTGACGCAAGTAATTTATCACAAACTGATTATCCCATAAACATCCGAGAGGTGCCNATACCAGAACCAATAGAAGTGTGCGCTTTTACTATAACACCAAATCTCGCTTACAAGCTCAGTTTATTTTAGAAAAAATCTGATCTCTAATTGTTTTATTTCATATTGCTCGTCATTTCAGTAAGCCTTGACAAAAAAAGGTTTCATCATAGCTGCAGTTTATAGCGATGAAGTATAACATGTTAGCAGGAGTTCAAGCACCCGCCTGCGAAACGTAGATCTATAATAGATGGCGCGTTCGTGAAACACAGAGGAGGAGTTGAACCCCTGGGATGCATTCATGTTTAATAGAAATATACTTTAAAGTTTTTGAGTTTGTTCCGAACTCTATTGCGCCTGGTCAATATTTTATAAAGTCAGTCAAACATTTGTATTTGTACATGTGCGAGTAATTAAGATAGTGATCTGAAGTGTCTAACGCGCAGTAAACACCGTATTCATTTTGGAAGTTTCACCTTTTTTATGAAAAACAGTGCTCCCTAGTTACATTCCAGTAAGATAAAACCCTTGTCTTTCTGCGACAAATATGATTAAAAGAGAAGAGTCTCCCTAAAAATTCTCATAAACTCACGTGACTGCAGCACTTTAACTAATCATTAACCACTTACCGTCGAAAGTGCAGTGAAACTTGTTACAAAGATTTTCCTTCCTACCTCCGGTATAAGGCCTTATCCTCTTGTCATAGCCTTTTAGTAGTTGTGTAACTAGTCTAGATTTGTTTCTTGCAATTTCTTTCCAGGAGGGTTTGTCTTTCCTGAAAGAAAAATAGAAATAAGTTATATTGGCGTACCTCTTCAGGTACACACACGTGACTGCGATCATAATATTCGACAGTGTCGCGAAAAAAAATACCCTTATCATCTCAGTCACTTTTCAAAAGACACCTTTTGGATAATAATGAACAATTGCTCTCAGCTAACGCAAGAATATGCGCGAAAAACTTTTCTCGAATATTTTGAGGAGAGAGGGTCTTGGGAAACTGTGAGCTTTGAGGAACAGATATTGTCCAGGGATAAAATATCAGTAATTTTTTTTAGCGCGAAATAGAGGTCAATATCCTTCAAATGTTTTTCAATAAGGTCTCTCTATTCGCCGCAGACCTTTTTTCCAGGCTGCCAAACATCAACAAATTCTGAAGGCATAATTCTATTTTTCTCTTCAAAATATTTTGTGGCATTCAACTTTACAGTTGTGAACGTAAAAAAAAAAAAAAGTAAGAAAATTAAAATTACGAAAAGTGAGGAATATCACTTGGGAATGTAACCAGATATTCCAAGTTTAATGGTGTCACCTGACCAATCGCGCTAACAACGAAGAAGCTTGTAGTGTCCCATGCAACAGGCAGATTCAACTAGAGATCTATAACAAGATAAAGCAGTTATGGACTTCCTTTTATCGAGTTCGTGGCGATATCAGACCTGATAAAATTCGCTGGTCTGAGTGAGGTAATAACAGAATAAAGACATGAAAACATCGATTATTAAAAATGGCTTTGTGATAGTTCGGCAAACACGCTACTGCCTCGAGCCTTAACAAGAAACTTTCAAAGTGCTCTCAGTGACAGAACAGTGATTAGCGATGCAGTGCATGAAATATTTGCGACGTCTTGTAGAGAATTATTGTTTACGTCAGGGTTATTAAATTAGTAATTTATTTCGACTAACCGTCAGATTTTAAATTCAGAAACATCGATGCCCTCTATTTCCTGGCCGACACGCCGCGCCAGGTATTATCCCAAAATAAGAACCTGTTGTTTCGAACGGAAACATACGCATTTTAGTCGTGGTACGTAGAGAGCGATTTGTATAGCCCCTTGGTGAAGTCTTCCGCTAAAGCAATATTCATTAACTGAAATACTCCTCATTTATCTAATTGCCTTGACAGGATAGGAACATCTAAGGATGTCTCATGCTGATAGCAGTAGAAAACTGAAATACGAGAAAAAATGAAGTCGCGTTTCTCACTTTTGAAATCAATCTGACCACGTTTCGATTCCCTGTAGATTTCAGTTACGTAGAGTTCATTTCCTTGTAAACTTTATGATCAAAGATATAGTAAATGTACTTCTGAAATTCTTAGTGAGCTTACAGTGTACCGTCATTAAAATTGAAGAGAAAAATATGCTAATTATTATTTAATTTCCTTTTCTCTACGAAAACATTATGAATATTTGAATTGTTTTCCACAACCCGAAAAAAATCTCTCTTTAGACTGTTTGTTTGTTATCTTTAAGGCGATTTTGTATCCCAAATTTCAATAATACCGTTCGTTTTCTCGTCTCGACTTTTCTATGTAGCAAACTGACAAAAAGCCGTTACTGAAAGCCAGTGTAACATGTGAAAAGTCATAAACTTGCCAAGATTTTGCACATAAATCAATGTCTAATAGTTATGTGATCAAGTGTCGAGACAAAAACAAACAAAAGCCGGGAAAGTCTAAAACGCAACCCGAATCTAAATCCCAAGCTTTAAAATAGTTCGTGTTTAAGTTGGTTTCATTTCATAAGTATTAAACATAAAAAAAGATTAGGCGAGGAATAATTGACACCTCGTATGTAGCAGCCGAGAAATTCGGTTTGACCATCTCTAAACATAGAGATGTATTTTGCAAAATTGAACATTTGGATTGCGGTTTAACGTTTGGTTTTACATACATACTTACCAAGATGTTGTAGTATTCCCTGACGCTGTGGGGATTACCCTTGTTGTTTGGGAGATATTCATAGCGTGCGCAACCCCGAAAAGTGCCACAATCCACACACACATAGTGCTCATCTAACTAACTGCAAAAGAAAACGAAATATCAACGTTAGATTTCTCCCTTTATTAATTTGATAACCCTTGTTATTTCTTGCTTCTCGCTACCAAGTATCGACGGTTTAGTTCCTGATAAACATTTAAAAGATTCACAAGTTAACCAATATCGCCGGAAAAATATTTGAATAAAACGAAAAATTTACGACACACTTACTAAGACAATCCCATTGACAAAGCAAACTTCTTGTGACCAGTTTTAGCATTCGCTCAGTGATAGATTGATAATGTATGGCTTTGTCTTTCTCTCTCTTCAGAATATTCAAGTTTTTAAAAGCAATTTATTAAGAGCAATATCAGTAAAAGCTCAAACAGAGCTTTTTCAATTAAATGTCACGTTGATAACACGTTCCATGACGTAAACAGTGTTGTAAGGGGTCGAAGCTCAATTTATATATCCAGATTGAAATACCATTAATTTAATGTCTTAAATTACGGATGAATGATACCACTGGTGAAATTGAAGATGAGAAGCTTGCTTTTAAGTGGAAATTTCCTTCTCGCGAATGAAAACATGCGGGAAACCAAATTATTAGCGAGTGGAGTAATGTTTAGTAAATTAGACAACAGACTTTTTTTTTCGGTGTGCTAAATTGACATTATTAGTTGAGCCGTGTGATTGGCAGATTACGCTTTGTAAAAGTCAATTTGTATTCATATTCAGATAAAAAGTGCTAAAAAATTAATATTCAAGTAAATTAAACAACAATAATACTATTGTTCTAAACTCAACTTGTACCGATAAGCACATTTAGAGTCAATGAATGGTTTAAAATGTTACGAAAAGAATTAAGGCATCAATTTTTATAAAATGCTTTTATAGAAATATTTTGATAGATTGGACTCGCACAAAAGACGAAATCTTGAAAATGTGAACAGTGATTGGTTGAGTATCATAATATCATAGCTATGTACTCTGGTACTCATTTTTAATTCTAAGAAATACCGAAATTAAATTATGTCGCCTTGATGACTTCATATAACAACTTGACATTGGTTCAGAGCTGCACGCGTCAGGCAACAAATGTCGCATATTGTAACCATGCAGTGATAAACGCGGAATAGTTTGCCATCACCAGTTATAGGAAGATCTCATTTGGCTAAACAAGCGTCAAGGATACAATTGATAAAAATTTAACCATGATCTTGTCACTCTATATTGTTGCATGCAAGGTTTGGTTTCTGAAATCAGAAATGGCTCCCAGAAATAAAAATAATAATAATAATAAAAAAACGACAACCAACCAACCAACCAGTCAATCAATAAAGTAACAAACAACATTCAAACAAACAGAAAACAAGACGAATGAACCATCAAAATATACACTAAATTTAAATGCTATATTTTTAATCACCAAGCCTATCCTTCATTTTCAATTCATAATGTGACATTTTCTAACTGAGTTTCACATATAGTTAATAACAAATGTCCTGAGAACTTAGTGGAATATAAAGAAGATTTCCTTAGCTAGTCGATATAACTATCTATTCTCATTACCTACGTGCTTCGACATGAACTGACATTATCAGGAGAAATAAGCTGCTGATCAGTATATTTGAAGCCATGTTCTACAGCAACAAGAGAATTAAGACGAAGATGACAATGATAATGCTGATGACAATTGCGATCCTGATCAATCATAATCAGATCATAATCATAAAGGTTTATTTAGTGTTATTTCCGAGGCTCGTAACGTTTTACGACCAAATTATTAAGAATTGATCAATTTTGTCACCGGCAGAGGATAAAGCAATGGCTCACTAATATACCCAACAGTTTTATTACAGTAATTAAAACTGAATTGATCAAGTATAACCTGTGTTGGTTCCTTTTGAAAGAGTCGACTGAAAGCATCATCTAATCAGCTTNAAAAAAAAAAAAAAAAAAAATCAATAAAATAAAAAAAATGATATTTCCGGTCGAGTTCGATCCCTGCCCTAATTTTCTGCGTATAGTCGGTGTTATCGAGATTAAGTTTGCAGAAATGGTTGATTTGAAAAAAAAAAATCTCTCGGTGCCTCGAGATTTTGAGTGTGATGGAAGTTCCAAAAGATCTTTCCATTCCTCGAAGCTAATTATAAAAAAAAAAACAACAGTGACATAATGTATTTGAACGTGCCGATAAAGTATGGAAATAACAGGCGATATTCTACACCCGCGAGCAGAGGTGAAGAAACATAAAACGACCAGGCAAAATAGTTCATTTCGTCGCTGAACAAAGCGAATTTTCCCAGAAAATGAAGTTTCCTACATTATGAAGCCACACTCATACTTTGTTCTGTTATTACGCACATTTAAAACGATGACCTGACAGCACTAAAGCAAACTGGAAAAAACACTTGCCGGCCGGCTGCTCGTGTTGTTCTTTACACTTACGTTTTCGTCATTTCCTTGTTCACCGCTTTGTAACTCACTTTTTGCGTCCTTGAAGTTGAAATTTACGTATATATAGCAATCAGTCTGCCCGGAATATAATTGAAAACTTTGGGTAAACTTACATCGAGAGGAAGACTAGAAAAAGTTACATCATCCGGCCTTGGCGTGGATAAATGACTAAAATAACCTAGAAATATTTCCTTTCAAACTAGCCCTAGTTAAATTAAATGTACTCTGGTAATTCACCCAGTAGCTAAATGTTTGTGGACTACAAATGTGATCGATATTCATGTAAATAACACAATGTGCAACTTATTTAAAAATCCTCCCGAATGCGAATTTTTTGTTTTGTGATTACAATTGTTAGTTCAAGTATAGTTATTTTGTCAATGAAAAAATTAAATAATGAAAAACATGAATTTGAGGTGCAAATTTTGTCATATGACGTACACATATATTTTTTTCCCAGCGCTCTCAATATTATACCGGTAGGAGAAAAAAGCGTCTAAAAAAACGCGAATTTCCGTCAAAAGTTTGCTTTTAATCTTGCTGTCCATCTTTGAATTGACCCGTTTAATGCAGTTAAAATCTGCCAACGAACGAAGTTTCACTCTGTATCATTCGCACACACTCAAAACACTCAACATTTGTATTGCGCCTTATCTAATTCTAGGTTGATGAATAATGCCGTCATTACATGAAACAAAGTAAATACAATGCGTTACCTTGGTAGTCGACGGCTGGAGAATTGAAATTAAGACATTGACCATTAAACTTTTGTGTTCTATCGACAACTTTTTGGAATAAAACCTCAATTTTGTGACACCAATGTACAAATACATCTTGAAATTTCAGATCAATACGAGTTTGCGCAGAAATCGTGTGACATTTATACGCTATAAAACTGAATATATCTCTTTTTATTTTATGGCGTCGCACCTGCATTTCATACCTCCTTCCGACAGTTTGTGTTGTGTTATACGACGTGTTGTCATGCAATAGGTTTCCCTGTCAATTTTAGACCAGTAAAACTGTAACACCCAGTTATCAACTTTCTTCGCCTCGCATCATTTACAAAGCTGCGAAACAAAACACGACCGTCGTAACTGGAGATCGCCAGGAAAACTGATATCTTGGTATTTTGGCTCGTGTTATCAAAACAAGAAATAAACAATTAGAAATTGTGGCAACGTGCGACAAACGACAATGTTCTCAGAGTAAAATATCAGCAGTATAGAAATTAATTTTTTGAACCGTGGTTTGGAGTCGTGCTGACATCCATTATGTTGACTGGCTTTGCTTTCACTCCTGGAGAGACAAGTTTAAATTACGCACTGTGGGATGAAAGGAAAAAATACTTTTAATTCATAGCGTTTTTATAAAGCCATTGAATTACGTTCAAGCTACCGAATGTATAGCTGGGTTGAAAACTATTAAATTCCTTGCAATTAAAATAGAATAGGAAAAAAGAGCTTGCTGTAGAAGACAACCTTTATAACAATGATTTGTCGAAAGCAACGCTTGTTTTCAACCGCGACTTCATTTTGTAGAGTATTCAACAAATCTGTTTTGTGGTTGAGGAAACACGATTACAAACACAGGAAAAGTAGAACAGAAGGAAAAAGTTTTAACACAAATCCTTTTAAACTTTAATGTAAACCTAATGGTGTCCGCATAATTTGTGAGTAGAGGTAATGGAAAGAGTCAATAATGAATGTTAAGCCGCGCGGAAGGAATGATAAAAGGTCAAGGATTTTCAGAAGGATAAATTGATTGAAAGAGAAGAATAACGCAATCACTTTTGGGGCTTACGAAATTAATCTCTCGTTATTAGTATATTGGCCGCACTATTTATGTAGAGCCCACCAAAACGTAAGCTAATGGAATAAATGCACGAAAATTAAGCAATCAGGCATCTTCTAAAAGCCGAATATAATAAAGTGAAGATTTTCTGTTACAGAAAATCTAAGGTAAGGATAAGAATGCACAAACAGTCTACTACTTATCAAGATTTAAAGAAAAGAAAGTTATGAAAACGCAAAACCAAAACAGCGGTGGTTAAAAAACGAATTTAATAATATAAGGCAATTCATGCCCAGTTGAACTGCTGAGCCGAACGTGTTGATATCACCTGTACGATTTTGAGCTTTTTCGCGAACAAACATGAGTTAGAACGTAGAGTAATTATGAAGCAAAAAATAAATCAATAAATAAAAGGAAATGTGAAAGTGGTAAAATCTTTTGAATAAGGTTAATAGAATATTGATTAGAATATGATGTCCTAGTTTCATAGTGCGCCAGTCAATTATTTTGAATGTTCTTGTTGTATTCCGCACCCTTGGGTGGCCTTTTTGTTGGCTCATAAGCTGAAGAAAAATTTAAACGAAAGCTTTTTCATTATAAAAGTACCTCTAAATCTACATTAAATTAAAGGTAACAATACTGGCTACAAGAATTAACTTAATTGCGCGACTCATTTAGTCCATGGTCCTAGTATCCTCTTTAAGCTATTTTGGTGTTTTGGTCATTTCTGAATGCAAAACGGCTGCTTTCGATCGCTATAAAGTGTTAACGAAGGCAATAACTAGCAATACTTTTGAAATAGCAAATTTTCCAAGTGATCAAATTAGAATCATTGTCTCGGATATGAGTTTTGTTTGTTCATCACGGTTACTCTATCGTCTCTCTGTCGCGCCATGACCCTGAAAATAGTGCTTTTAGAAAGAAGACGCCCTCTTATAGATAATTAATTGCTCTTTCATGCATTCACAGATGGCCCATGTGAGAAATTCCATTTCCGTGAACTTTGTTTTAGTCTTGGAAATGTGCTCATGTCGGCCGGAAGCCATTTTATGTTTACCCTTAGCCTTATTCACATAGTATCTAGAACATTTCTCTACTTCTCTTGTCTGAGTAGGCCGTAACATGTGTGATTCCCACAGAAACACAGCTTTGCATTATGGTAGCCCTAATAAAAAAAAATGGCTGCCAGAAAAAGGCATGAAAAAATATTACTAAGGCAACTACAGCCTCCGTTCAAAAGTGTCGACATAATGAAGTAATAATATTCAATAATAATTGATAACATATGAATGAATGCTTGTTGCGTCCTCGTCTAATTCAGGGTCGTTTTTAGGGTTTGACAATAACAAGGTCATTTGCGAGTCGTTCTTGTTATGCACGAGGATGGTTAGAAGAGGAAGTCAATGTGATGGGAGGAAAATAGCACAAATAACGTTTGTAAAATGCTATACAACTTGTCTTGCACGAAACGTCGCTTTACCTGCGCAATGCATAAAGAAAATTTACCGTAGCGGTGTCGATCCCACAGATCGCCCACAGCTTGTAGCAACGAAAACACTACAAGACATGTTTATACCTGTCACAAGATTTGACGCGCAACAACATTATAACATACTGAGTTGACTAAAACATTTCTTATTGTAATACTAACTTAAATGCTATTCAATGCATTAAATAGGAAGCAGCACCGACTTGTTCAAGAACTTAAACAAAGGAAACGTTTGTCTTGTAAAATGAACATGTAGTATGTGCGAGACAACATAGAATTTGGCTGCGACAGGGGAACAGTTTTTTAGCGTTACAGTTCCCGAACGTTCTAAAATATGGGAAAAAAATACTGAGGAAAAACTGCTGACGCACTTAATTTGCCATGACCAGTGTAAACAGTGGTAGAATCTGATTTTGTTTGTTTAAAATAAAACCAAATTAACCGAGAATAACGACCTTCATATTTTCCGTTATAACATTAAGTAATGAGAGACAGACTTTTTCCAACTTACTTTCAGAATATGATTGCCGTGCACCATTCAAGTACTGAGATTGTGGTGTAGGGTTGAATCCAAAACAGCGTTTCATAACCTGAGATATTATAGGCTTAGTACGTGTTGGGTGTACTAGCACATTGCTGTTCAAATCCTCACAAATTATTAACCAGCTATTCTTATTGGCGTTTATTACCATTGACGTGTTACTGGGTTTTGACAACGTGCTCAACCTGCCTTCTTAATTGCATAGATTAACCAAAAACAATTAATTGCAAACAATAACCAAATTATCACGCATTTAACGGCTCCTGCCTATTAATTAATAGGTTTCAAAACAAGTTTTTTTCCTCAGATCACTTTGCGCTGGTCATGAACAAGAAAGTGCTAAATGTAAATCTTAATTTCAATCTTTTATCTGTCATAAAACAGATTTTTCTTTAATCATACAAGGATTTTGTTATTTATGGGAATTTTATTAAGTTTTTCTTATCGGTGGAACATGATCAATTATTTATCGAATTACAACAACGAAAGCATTTTTTACTCTCACCACTGATAAAGCAGCAAAATCTATTAGCACTTTAATGGTCAGAAAAGCACCAACAGAAAATATTCTTCTAAAAATACTACACAGTCAAAAGGACCAAGCGAGACAAGCCAGACAATGACTATTAGGTGATTTTGCGTGGGCATTAAAGAAGAAAAAAAAAAGGCTCTGGTTGGTGTCTGCTTGCCGCGCCCGAGTGGAGTCTCATGTATAGAATCATGTGGAAAACTGCCTTGTGGACGACTTTATTGATCTGATTAATGGTACAACGTGGTCACATTACGATTTATAACGAGTGGAGGTGCTAAGGGGTGACCAGACAGGGGTAGGAGCTCCAGATAACGTATAGTGGAAAATGAAAGCGGCATTATGCAGCTTCTACTCAGTTAAAAATAATTTTCCGAATAATAACAAAATATATAAAATTCCCGGGAAGTGAAAACTGGGCTTGCGTTTCGTGGATAATTACTTATGGTAAATTATCGCCATATTTATTGAACAAATCAAGTTTCAACAGGGGAAAAACAAAGGAAAACGTTGCGTGCCAAGAAAACCTCTTTGTTATTTTGTGGTCATCCGTCCGACATTGTTGATCTCTCGTTCATTGTCAGGCTGCAGTGTGTATCTTAGCAAAACTTCGTCGTTCGAAGAAGCGGTAACGAAAGAAACTGCAGTTTTACGACCACAGCTACAACCACATGCACGACCATCACCACCACAACAAGAACAAGGAAAACAGAATACAACAACAACAACAACAACAACAACAACACAATACCTGTACGTACGTTGACAACAAAAGTGTAGGACACCATACCACAGGTATCCCACAAAAAAATGGGAACCACACCATTGATTTGGCCGCGAGGAGACTGAATCGGGCTAGAAGAACTGGCGCGAAGCTCAAAGCAAGATGGCGGCTGCTGGTTGAGTCATGGAGCCTTTCATTCAGCTGATTTACAACAAACAGTGCCCTCTGAAAACTTCACAGCTAACAGAAACGTCATTCATCGATAAGAGAAAAGTTACTGAACAATTCTGGTTAGATTTACTGGAGAGAAAATGCCCAGAAGGTGTGTATAATGTGTTCATGATGTTTGTACTCGTTCAGCCTGAACGATGCTGTAAACCTTTTGCATTGATTTTCTGAGCTTACCGCTTCTAGAAAACCGAAGTCTCATATGGTGTGTAGTGCAAATATTCGAGGCTAAAAGAGTCATAAATGACATGCATGCAGACGGTGCTTTTATCACTTCGCACGAGTCTGTACAAAGTGCGAGCCAGCGGGTCATGCGAGCCAACATGCAACATTCCTAAACCAGTCAGTGTAAAACGCAGACTGCAGACCGCGGACCGGAGCATGGAGACTGAGGGTAAAATGCAGACTGCGAACTGGAGGTAAAATGCAGACTGCAGATTACAAACTTTTTTAAATAGATATCGTGTTATTTCCATTATCGACTGTTTACCGTAAACAGGGTTATTCAGACTAATCGTAGTGAAAGTTTGCACTTGGGTTAGCCTGAATTTCACTCCAGTTAGCCTGAATATCACTCTGGTTAGACTGAATATGACTCCGTTTAGCCTAAATAATGCTCTTGTGAGCCCAAATAACGCTATGGTTAGCCTGTTTATGATTAGCTCTCAATGATGGAAATGATGACACGATTCAGTTAAAATTCTACAGTCGATAGTGCTCATTTTACCCCTGGTCTGCAGTCTGCATGACACGAAATCAGTGGCAGAATGTAGGTTACGTCTTTTCTAGCTTCATATTAAGTTTCCAATAATGAAAGTGATGATGGAAATTGTTGTTCTTTACTTATGTCTCAAAGACTGGAATATGTCATTTAAATCTAAATAAATAAATAAATAAATAAAAAAATATCTTAACTGACCACTCCTCCAGTAGAGCTTTTCTAGGCCAATGGAAACAAGCAGTGAAACAAATATTGAAAATCAACATATAACATGGTTAAAAATCCTAACTGGCACTTAGAGGCAGTCCAGTTGCTTATTTACAAAGGTGGCAGAGGAGCTGAACTCAGGACTATGGAGGACAACATCAGCTACACGTACATGTGTAGTGTTCAGAACGGAATTTGAACCTGGGAGGTCTGGATTTCAAGTCTTGTACCCTAACCATTGGGTGAAGTGGGAAAGCCTGGCACTTCCCTTTGGTCTGCCACTGGAGATTTATGTGCACATGTACAATGTACATATGCAATGTTTGTTGGTTACAAAAATCATTATGATTAGAAAATAGCTACTTGTATGTGCTGAATACCAACAACAGTGTACATAGCATAAAACCACAAGTCAAGTGATGCTAATAGCAGGGGTTTCTTTAACGTTTTTGGCAGGATGGCAACTGGTTTTCACAGGCAGGCAAAGCTTTTTGAACTGAACTTCTTTATGAGAAAAACTTTCCTCTAGACAATCAAACCAGGCCAGCAACAGCGTCTTTACAGCTGGCCAATTTTCTCGGCACACGACCCTAAATGAAACCCCCGTGATAGGCTTTTACATTATAAACAAACACCTTTAAATAATAATATGGCTGTACTGTTTGTTGAGTTGCTTCTGACAACATAAGATAGGGAAATGTGATATTGTAAACATTGATGCAAAATGCATGAATTTTCATGACATCTTTTGTGACCTATTTTGCAGGACTTGGTGAAGTCAGTGAACATTTAATGAAAGATGATAACCTTACACCGGCAGATTTCTGTTATAAACATGATGTGTCACTAGACACCTGTACTTTACAGCAAGCTGCATCCTATAATGATTGCCTTCAAAGCTCCAAGATAGTGGACAATGACAAGTTTAAGACTCCATTGACTTCAAAATACAAGAACAATCACATTTCTGAAACACCATGTTTATTCTCACAGGATGAATCAATTACTCACACCCCATCATCAAGTGAGTGGTTTGTTTTTGTTTAGAACTATTTAAGTAAATGTCCAGTAGTAGGGGTTGGGAGGGGTTCATTCCCTACATTTGCATTTGTTCGTGATTGTACCTAGCGCTGCCCTCAACAAGAGGAAACTGCTCCCCCACGCTTACTTACCATTGATTTTAATAGTCAATAAAATAACAGCAAGCAGGGTTGTAGTGGGAGCAATAAAAAACTTTGATATTGTAACTCTGATGAAGGTGGACAAAGCCACCAAAAATTCAGAAAAGAAAATCAACAGACTGGATTACAGAAAAAGTCTGACTGTACAATGTATATACATGTATAATTTATTGTGATGTAATCTATATGTATGGGTCAAACAAATCTTGAAGGCCATGTACCCAGCCTCATAGGGTCAGGCTTTTTGAACTGCTCTGTGACCTGCAGTGTAATGTTAACAGCAAGGGGTTTTAACAATAATAATTGAAAATATATTGGTTAATATGGGCTAGCTGCTATTTATCAGCTATTTTATACACATGTGTCATCAATGTAGATCCTGCTGTTAAAAAAAAAAAATTATTTTAAAATGTAATAGGGATGTGCATATACATGTAGCTTCTAGCTCCTGCAAGCTAATTTCACTCAGTGAAAGCTTAAGAGAGCTTTTCGGTGGTTGAAATCTCATTAGAAAACAAAGACTTGGGGTACATGTAACTTTTACATGTAATGTGCAAAAGATTGAATGCCAGCTGGGCTTGTCAATGAGGTTGAGTCTGGCAACTAATTGTTTTTCAGCTACATGTATATCCCTGAAATACTAAATGACATAATAATGCTGTCAACTGTCATTAGCCACCTTAGAATTCGGCAGGGTTCATCACCATCCTCACTTAACTGACAATAAATTTGATTTGTTGTCTGTGTGAAGGCTTAGAGTCGCAGCCTACCTGTCATGGAGACACTTCATACAAGGCAGCTGAAGCAAGCCCAAGCTCTACTCAGGTTCTTGCCACTCCAGTGGCTCCCTCCATGTACAGAAGTGGAAGTGACTGGTTCATAAGAGGAAAAACAACACCAGATATTTTAGCAGAAATCATGGTAAGACTCAAGACCTGACTTTTTCAAATTGCATGGTGTACATGTATATGTAAAGTGCAGAAAAAAAAAAATAACTGAACAGCAATCTTTGTTATACCTCCCAATTCAAATATTACTTTTTCCGATTGGAGGAGAATGTGACACATGTCAACTCAATAACTCCCTAGAGCAAACAAAACTCACTATTTCCTAAGGGAGACAACAACTTGAACTTTTGACATGCACCTTGAAATCATGGCAAGTTTGTGTGCCGGCCAGTGTCAAGCAAATAATTTTTTCTCAGTTTGTTCTATTTTTGAGTTGGGAGGTATAACAAAACACATAATGACTGGCCCACAG